GTCCCGTCACAGTTACAGTTACAGCCGACCTCCCCACTGCCTGCTCCATCTCCCTACACTGGTCCTACTGGAGGTCTTGCTGAGCGTCGTGAGCCTGCGTCTCGCCCTGCGTCGCCTGTCCGTGCTGCTCGCACTAGTGGTCGCGGTTCGCGTCAGCGTCCTCCTCCTGTCCCTGGCACGCACCGGATGTCTCTGCGTCCGTCCACTGCTCCTCTGCGTGCCCCTTTGCCTTCTCCTCCTGATGCTTCTCTTCCTGCTCTTGCTGACCCGGAGTCGGACTCTCTTCATGCTGCCAGTCCTACTGTCACGCGTCTCCTTGCTACTGTTGTCACTGACCCTTCCTTTGAGTCCACTGCTGCGTCTGCCCTAGTTGCTGAGCTCGTCCACTTTGCTGCTCGCTAACGCCTAGACTACGCCGCCAGTCTTGTTGCTGAGTCTGGGTCTGTCTGTCCTCCGTCCGTCGGGGGTGAGTGTGCCCTTGGCACGGACGTCCTTGAGGACAGGAAGGAGGAGTTCCAGTGCTTGGCCGCTGCTTCACCTCATCTCGTGTCCGTACTGCTTACCCCCGAGGGAGACCCGGATGCACTTGACATCCCGACTCCGCGCTCTTACGCGGAGGCGATAGAGGGTCCCTACTCCTCTCAGTGGCAGGCAGCTATGGACGCAAAGATGGCTTCCTGGAAGTCCACAGGCACCTATGTTGACGAGGTTCCCCCGCCTGGGGCGAACATCGTCAGTGGCATGTGGATTTTCAGGGTGAAGCGGCCGCCGGGTTCTCCGCCTGTCTTCAAGGCGCGTTACGTGGCTTGTGGCTTCAGTCAGCGGCAGGGAGTTGACTACTTTCAGACCTTCTCTCCCACCCCGAAGATGACCACTCTTCGGGTACTACTGCACGTAGCTGCTCACCGTGACTACGAACTACACTCTCTTGACTTCAGCACTACTTTCCTGCAGGACAGCCTGCACGAGGAGATCTGGCTGCGCCGCCCACCTAGCTTCACTAGGACTTTCCCCCCTGGCACCCAGTGGAGCCTCCGGCAGCCAGTCTACGGTCTTCGCCAGGCACCGCGTGACTGGCACGACACATTGAGGACTACAGTTGCGGCTCTTTGGTTTGCTCCCTCTACTGCCGACCCGTCGCTGTTTCTGCGCACCGACACTTCTCTGCCGCCGTTCTACATCCTCGTGTATGTCGACGACTTGGTCTTTGCCACAGCTGACACTGCTGGACTCGCCCACGTGAAGTCCAAGCTGCAGAAGTGACACACGTGCACTGACCTGGGTGAACTGCGCAGCTACCTTGGCTTGTAGATCACTCGGGACAGAGCACGCCGCACCATTACCCTGACTCAGTCACACATGGTGCAGCAGGTCCTTCAGCGCTTCGGCTTCACGTACTCCTCCCCTCAGGCCACTCCTCTGCCTACTCGCCACTCGCTCTCAGCTCTGCCTTCGGATGAGTCCGTACAGTCGAGTGGCCCGTACCCAGAGCTTGTTGGCTGCCTCATGTACCTGATGACCTGCACACGACCTGACCTTGCATACCCTCTTAGCATTCTCGCACGCTATGTTGCTCCTGGGAGACACAGACCAGAGCACATGGCTGCAGCGAAGAGGGTGTTGCGCTACTTGTGCAGTACGTCGGGCATGGGGCTTGTGCTTGGAGGGCAGAGTCCAGTGGTCCTCACTGGGCACGCAGACGCTTCTTGGGCTGACGACCAGGCCACGCAGCGGTCGTCACAGGGCTACACCTTCAGCCTTGGTTCCGGCTCTGTTTCGTGGCGGGCTACTCGCTCGTCTTCTGTTCTCGGCTCCAGTTGTGAGGCTGAGATCTACGCAGGAGCCATGGCTGCTCAGGAGCTTCGCTGGCTCACCTACCTGCTGACTGACCTCGGAGCACCGCCTCGTTCTCCTCAAGTGCTGTACGTAGACAACAAGGCCATGCTGGCCTTGTGTCAGGAGCAAAGACTGGAGCACAGAACGAAGCACATTGCTCTCCGCTACTTTCTTGCTCGTGACCTGCAGCAGCGTGGTCAGCTGCGTCTTGCGTACGTGGCCTCTGAGGCCAACACTGCTGATATCTTCACCTAGGCGCTTGCGCCTTGTGATCATCAGCGCTTTTGTACTCAGCTGGGTCTTGTGCCTGCCTTGCCTCACTTGCTCACCTCTTGACCTTGTTTGTACTATTACATATATATATATATACACCTGCTCTTGCTTGTCTAGCCTTTTATATATATATGTACTCCTGCATGTGAACTGGCCTTGTGGCCTTGAACTTGTGCTCGGAATGTGTGGTGACTTTGTGATCCACCCTGAGCTTGCTTTGTTTTGCTTGATTGGTCTTGTGACCCCTTGTTCTCCCCCACTTTGCCTATGGGGGTGTGTCAGAACATCATAGCTTATGCTTTTGTGTAGGCTATAGTGGGGTAGCCCATAAGGGGTACAACCCAATTAGGGTTAGTACTTGTACCCAACTCTTTCATAGTTCATCCATTCTCGTTCATTTTCACAGAAAGGGGATCGCTGTGCTATATAGAGATAACACCAAAACAGAACTCAAGAAAGTGGCTGTATGGGATTTAAGAGTATGTTTTATATGCACCCTAAGCACACAAACTTGGACAAATCATATGCGCACTAATATTTGTTAGTGCGCGGTCCTATTTTATATATGGTTGCCATTTCATTTGGACGGGGATGATTGGACGCTCAATGGCAAAGCATATCCTGAGATTAAAACAAACCAATCACGCGCGGTAATTTAGTTTATTGCGAATTGATCGCTGATCATTTCGGTATATGATGGGGAATTCAATGATGGCGCCTGATTGGACGCTCAATGGCAACATATGCATTGCGCATGTTTTTTTACGAATCATGCGCGAGCATTAGGGGTGTGGCTGTTCGCTTCGGGTCTATAGGATTATATGATCGAGAAGTTATATGCTCGATCGCTGATTCGTTCTGAATTAGATGGACCACGCGCTCATTGGTCGCGCATTTGGCCGAAACTGACCGGTCAATGTACTGTTGGTCGGTTTCTTGTACAGTGGGTGGGCCACTTTTGCGTCCGTGAGCCTGGCGAAATTTTAAGTTGCGGAACAGAACGGAACACTACCTAGGGATACCACTCGCACGAATAAGGAATTTCGGGGCTACAAAGCCCCGTAGGGTAATGCGCCGGTGAAAAAAACGCGAGCAGGAATCCCCTGGCGTGGCCACTCGAGTAATTATCACCCAATTTCGTGGCCACTCGAGTAAATTGAGGCCCCCCGAGAGAGGATGAATCACCCGATTGGCCACTGGAGAAATTCTCTCGCGTTGGCCACTATTTCCCTTGCCAGCACGACACTGCAGTGTATGGAAAAATGCCACACGGATGCTGTAGGGTGAAAAATTCAAAAGTTTATGTTACACTGCTCTAACAGTGTAATGGAAATTTACACACTGCTCAGAAGGGTTTTAGAAAATGCTACACCGACAATCGTGAGTAGGCCAAATCCAAAACGAAGCCCTGGTCACAAGCGGTCAATCGGCGAAAACATGTGGTACGTGAATTAAACGTGAGGAACACGCGGGTAGGCAGGTACAGAATGTAGTACTCAAAGTTGTGGTTTTAAGCATTGCATGTGTTCAACTGCACAAGGATGTGCACAATGATGCTTTCACCTAAAAACCGACAATATGTAGCATTTGTTTTTTACTATAAGTGATGCATCCCATACTGCACCTGCCAATGTGCAGGTAGGTTGTTCCAGCTGCCCTTTCGCACTGACTGGCGTTTTTTCATGTGCGATTTTCCTTCCATTTGCGCTGACTCACGAGTTTGAATCCTGTCGTCTCATTTTCAACTCTCGGTTGGTGATTTTGTACACCTCGAACCTCCACAGTTGGTCTGATATTTCCAAACCTCACACATAGCTTGGCGATTTTCATTTCACACACGAGCCTCAGCCTTAGACCTCAGCGGCTTTGACTCGGTCTACACCTAGCCCGCGCCAATTTCAATCCCCCCAATTTCAAAGGGTTTGTCGTCGCCTGGTGGGGTTACAGCACACGTGGCATGGTGAATGGTCCGCAGAACATTACGACGCTGTGGGATGACATGCTGGCACTTCATCCCATACTCAAAATTCTTGCCGAACCACTATCAAACATAGAGAAATACTTCAAACCCATACAGTTTCTGCTTCGTAACTTTCTCGCTCGACACACGCGGGAGGCAAATCCGCCCCGTCGGCACAGACAGCTAGGTGCTGACTCACTACACAAATATCCCTTGCGCAAGTGGCAAAATCGCGGCTCGGTGCGAAGTTTTTGAAATTAGCGCGGGTTAGGTGTACTTCTGGTTTCGACTACCCTATAAGTAGCCATTAACTCTCCTACCATTTCACTCACCAACAGCTTCCACTTCACGCTCCACTTTCTTCACTCAAGCTTCCAAGTCAGTGCAAGATAACTTTCCCCACTTCGTAAATCGCAGCTCGATACAGATCCAGTCATGGCGGCAGTCAGAGCGCTCGTCCTCGCGTGCGTGCTCCTCCTCCTGTCGACGTCCGCCTTGGCGCAGCGTGGTCCGCCTGGCGGAGGTCCTCCCTGTCAATAATCAGAACGAGTTTGGCTTAGGAGCCATAGTAGCTTAGGAGAAGGTTCAGTGATCGAGTTCGAGTTGAAGGGGTTGAAGGAAAAGTATCGAGAGAGTTGAGAAGGAGAAAAGTGTTTCAATAATAGAAGGCATACAAGATATAGTCAAGGAAATGGGCAAATGGTGCACCACCAAGCAGGAAACTATATAACTACACTAAACTCTACTGTAGGCATTTATAAATGTATACGAATACATTTCAACACTCCCGGCTGTCAGCGCGGAAGCCCTGGCGCCGGTTCTGGCGGACCCGGCGGTCCCGGCGGTCCTGGCGGTCGTGACGGTCCCGGCGGGCCTGGCGGACCGCGCGGTCCTCCGCTGAGCCTGACGACCGCCGGGAATCTGACGGCCGATGTTGGCGCGCAGCTCGCCAACTGCACCGTGGATTAGAAGACCCTTAACGGCAGCTTCCACCTCGCCGTCTCCAAGTAGGTTCCGCTGCCTTCCTCTCTGCGCGAAAACCCTAATCCATTCAGTTTTTCTTCCTCTTTGCAGGATCTCATCGCGCTGCTTTCCCCTTTTCCTCCCCCCCTTCTCCTTCCCTTCCTCTGCTCCAGGAACGCGACTGGAAATTACAATCTGCTCGGCGAGGCGATGCTGGTGGACGCCGCCACCCTCGACGCGCTGCTCGCCGTGCTTCCCACCGCCTCGCCTCCGCCCACCAGCGGCGGCGGGCGCAACGGCGGGGGTAGCAGCGCTGGAGGCGCGCGGAACGGGCAGGGTGGGAGGCGCATGGGGCGGGAGCTGCTGATGCGCGCATTCGGCCGCACTGCTAGGCCCGGGGGTCAGAAGCAGGGGGGACAGCAGCAGGGTGGAGCGCAGCAGGCACCTGCAGTGAGCGGGTATGCTGTGCTGGCGGCCAGCATCGCAGCAGGTGTGACGTGGGGCGGGCAGCTCATGGGCGCCAAGATGCCCGCCGCTGCTGTTGAATGCGCCACTGCCCTGCTGCTGCTGCTGCTGGTGGTGGATCAGGAAAATGGGTTGACAGGCATTGCCAGTGCTGCTACTGCCGCCTTTGAGCATTGAAACCCAGCCTGTTGCACGCTGTAGGCGTGGTTGTGATGGGCTGGAGCCCTGGGGGCGTCTAAGATGTGTGTGCCTGGATAGGCTTGCTCTAGTTTTGCTCTGTTTCCTGCTCGTAGCTAAAGTAGGTCAAAGCATCAGGGGCAAGAATGCTGGCAAGGCATCATGTGTCACCAGTTGACTTGCCAGTCTTCCTACCCTTGGTTATTATTGTTAGCTTATTCTCTGTGGTTGGAGTCTACCGTATTTGTGCCTTGTGTAATTTCAGTACAATATTTGTGTTTTGAGTTCTCTACTGAAGGATTGCATCTGAAGAACGAATACAGTAACAGGGAAGTGTTACGGGTGCAATGAATCGAAGTAGCGAGAATTGCACTAAGGTGTCAAACGAGTACAAAGCTGTGAGCGAAGGCATGAGCGAACATTTATACGCGAAACATTCAAACGGTAACGCGGTGCGTGTGAGTTAGCTAGTGCTACGCTGGCAGCGAGGCTCGGGCTAGTCCCGAAGCGTAGGCCGACACGGCCGGGCCAGCAGTGCGAGGTTTGGCAAAACAGTGCGCGCGAAGTTGGCGAAGTCCCGTTAGTAGTAACGGGCGAACAACGGCTGTTGCCAGGGCCCAAAATTGGTTTTGGGGCACCCTGCCAAATCAGGGTCCCCTAGAGCCCTTTGCCTGACAGTCAGGGTGGAAATTTCTTTGCCCGGTGCTAATCAGTGTGTTTCTGCTAGTATCTTGTCTTTGAAAGGCTATTTATAGCAACACCCTGTTTGCCAGAGAAAATCTATATGCCACTACTGCTTCCCCTACATGCAACCATGCATAACCCACTACTGACAAAACATTGCATCAGTCATTCTCGGGTCCCTCCTGGTGGTCTGCACTTGCAGTTGTGTCAGGGACTGCTGCAGGGTTAAACTGAGTATCGCTTGGGTTGCTGCTAGTGAAGTCTCGGATTGGCTGCCTGTTTCTGTCGCCACGGAAGATGCTGTCAGAACATTATAGCTTACTTATTTGTGTAGGCTATAGTGGGGTATCCCATAGGGGGTACAACCCAATTAGGGTTTCCTATTTGTACTCACTTCGTTCATAGTCATTTCATTCTCGTTCACTTCTTCTCATGGTATCGAGCAGGTTCCCCTGTGGGAACTGTGCTTAGGGCCCACCACTACTTCGAACTTTTTTTTCTGCCCGGAGTGCGCTCCGGGCTCTCTCTTACCTCTCTCGACCGGCCCTTAGCCGCCCGCGCGCTGCCCGTTCAGGCCTCACGCCGCCAGCGCGCCGCCCTAGCCGCTAGCGCGCCGCCCGTCCAGGCCCCGTGCAGCCCGCGCGCCGCCCTTTGCAGCCCGCGCGCCGCCCTTAGCAGCCCGCGCGCCGCCCTTAGCAGCCCGCGCGCCGCCCTTAGCAGCCCGCGCGCCGCCCTTAGCAGCCCGTGCGCCACCCTAAGCGGCTCGCGCGCCGCCCTAAGCAGCCCGCGCGCTGCTCGCTAGGCCCCAGGCAGCCCACGCGCCGTCCGCGTGTCGTCCTTAGCCGCCCAAAGCGCCACCCGTGAGCCGCCCTTAGCCGCCCGTGAGCCGCCCATGCGCAGCCCTAAGCCGCCCGTGAGCCGCCCGTGTGCCACCCTTAGCCACCCGTGAGCCGCACGTGCGCCGCCCTTAGCCGCCCAAAGCGCCGCCCGTGAGCCGCCAGTGAGCCGCCAGTGAACCGCCCGTGAGCCGCCCGTGAGCCGCCCGTCAGCCGCCCGTGAGCCGTCAGTGAGCCGCCCGTGCGCCGCCCGTGAGCCACCCGTCCCGGCCCCGAGCCACCCGTGAGCCGCCCACCCCGACCTGTGAGCCGCCCGTGAGCCGCCCTTCAGCCGCCCGTGAGCCGCCCGCGAGCCGCCCGTGAGCCGCCCGTGACGACGCCCGAGCCGCCCGTGCCACCCGCGTCACCCGAGCCGCCTGCGCAGCTGAGGAGCCGAAACGCCCGAGCCGCCCAAGCCGCCCGACCCGCTGAGTGCCCGAGCCGCCCGAGCCGCCCTAGCCGCCTGCGGTGCCGAGCTCCTGCTCCTGTGGGGCTGCTGCTGCTCCTGGGCCGGCGGAGTTGCAGAGCTGCCGTGTTGTTGTCCTGCTGAGCTGCTCGACCCTTCCTCTCTGGTGAGACTGTCGGCTGCTATCATGGCCACCCCTAGTGTCCTGGCCTTTAACGCTGAGGGTCGCGCCATTGACTTTGCGGTCTGGGTCGAGGACCTGCAGCTGTACTTACAGTGCGATTCAGTAGATGACATCTCTCTCTTTGACTTTGCCTCTGGCGCTGTCCCTGCCCCTCCTGCTGATGCTGACCCCACTGTTCGCTCCAAGTGGGCCACACGCGATGCTGCTGCACGTCTTGCTGTGCGTCGCCTCCTCCCTTCCTCCGAGCGTGCCCACTTTAGTCAGTGCAAGACCGCTCAGGCCTTGTACGACGCTGTAGTTGCGCGCTACTCCTCCCCTTCCACTGCTACACTGAGCCGCCTCATGCTACCGTACCTCTTCCCTGACCTTGCTGCCTTTCCCACAGTCGCTGACCTCATTACCCACCTTCGCGCTAGTGACACTTGCTACCGAGCTGCGCTTCCTGCTGCCTTCTGCGCCGAAAACCCCCCTCCCATCTACATCACCCTCTACTTTCTAGTCACCCGTCTCCCTGAGTCCCTTCGTGCAGTTAGGGACCAGTTTCTCTCTGTCTGTCCCACCACCCTCACTGTCGACCTCCTCGAGAAGTCCCTGCTAGCGGCCGAGAAGAGCATAGTCGCTGTAGGGGCCTCTCGTGGTGACCCGCGCACCCCCATCTTTGAGGGGTGTTCTCCTTCCCCCCTGTTACCCTCTGTCGCCTCTGCTGCTGCGGCCGACCTCGTTGGTCTAGAGTCGGTCGGTGCGGCGTCTGCCCCCAGCGGTAGGCGCCGCTCTGGCAAGGGCAAGGGGGGCAAGGGAGCGGGTGGAGCTAGCGGGGGCGGTGGCGGAGGAGGTGGGGGCGGGGGGGGGAGTGGGGGTGGCGGTGGAGGTGGTGGCGGGGGTGGAGGTACTAGTGGCGGCAGTGGAGGCGGAGGTGGCGGCGGAGGTGGCGGTGGAGGTGGCGGTGGGAGCGGCGGGGGCGAGGGTGGCGGTGGCGGCGGTCGCGGCGGAGGCGGGGGTGGCGGTGGTGGAGGTGGTCGGAGTGGCTCGTCCCAGCGGAGCAGCACTGGGGGTGGTCAGCGCCAGCAGCAGCAGCAGCGCTCTCGCGACGTCCCCGCCCCTCAGCAGCTTCGTGAGTGGTACTCGCAGTGTCAGCGTGGTGGGGCGTTCGGTCCCTGCACCTACGTCCTTCGCACCGGCGACCGCGCGGGTGAGCAGTGTGGGGGCACCCACACCGCCCGGCGCTGCTTTGCCCGTCTGACCGACGCTTGGCGCCAGCAGTTTCCGGAGGCCTCTGAGATCCCCCGCTGGGGAGAGCTGTCTAGGGCTGGTGTAGCTATCTTTGATCTTGACTTTGATGCTATCCTTGCTGCCATGTATGCTGTGACTGTTACTGATGAGGGTGACTGTTACCGGTGTTTCCCGCCCGACCCGGGCATTGGTACTGCTGCGCTAGGTGCCAGTGAGGCTGCTGCTCTAGGTGCCAGTGCGTCTGTGCTCTCAGGTACTAGTGAGTCTGCACTCTCAGGTACTGTGTCGACTTCGGCCTCTCACACCTTCACCCTTGACTCTGGAGCGTCTCGCTCCTTCTTTCGGGACCGCACCACTCTCACGCCGCTTAGTCGGCCGGTTGCGGTGTCCCTGGCTGACCCCTCTGGGGGTCCTGTCCTGTCTCGTTTCTCCACAGTCCTCCCGTGTCCGGCGGCTCCCTCTGGCACCCTGTCTGGTCTCTACCTCCCCTCGTTCTCTACGAACCTGGTGAGTGGTGCTGACCTACAGGATGCGGGTGTCCACCAGTTCACTCCTGCTCGTCAGCGGGTGACACACTGCACAGAGGCTAGCACAGGTCGCCACCTGGCTACGTTTACACGTCAGCCAGGGTCGAGCCTGTACACACTGACCACTGCTTCTCCTCCAGGTGCTGAGTCTGGTAGAGTCCCTTCGTCTGGTCAGGTGTTTGCAGCAGCGTCCAGGTCTGGTCCTGAGTCTGCCCCCTGTTCGTGTCGCCGTCTGTCTCACGAGACTCTCCTCTGGCACCACCGCCTTGGCCACCCCTCTCTGCTTCGGCTCAGAGGCATGGCCTCCCGTCTTCTTGTGTCTGGTCTCCCCCGGTCCCTCCCTCCCCTTCCGCAGGGCCCTGGCCCTGCCTGTGTCCCCTGTGTCGAGGGGCGCCAGCGTGCTGCCCCTCACTCCTCCCAGTTTCCTCCGACAGAGGCTCCGTTGCAGACGCTTCACATGGACATGTGGGGCCCTGCCCGCGTTCGTGGACTCGGTCACGAGCGCTACTTCCTGTTGGTGGTTGACGACTACTCGCGTTACACCACAGTCTTCCCCTTGCGCAGCAAGGGTGATATCACTGAGGTGCTGATCGACTGGATCCGCGCAGCTCGTCTCCAGCTCAGGCAGAGCTTTGGCTCGGACTTTCGTGTGTTGCGTCTGCATTCGGACAGAGGCGGAGAGTTCTCCTCTGGCCTTCTGCATGCCTACTGTCGTGCGCGAGGCATCCGCCAGACCTTCACGCTTCCGGACTCACCGCAGCAAAATGGGATTGCAGAGCGCCGCATTGGCATGGTCATGGACGTCGCTCGTACGTCTATGATGCATGCGGCTGCCCCCAATTTTCTGTGGCCGTTTGCGGTCAGGTACGCGGCGCATCAGATCAACCTCCACCCCAGGGTCTCCAGGCCGGAGACCTCCCCAGCCCTGCTGTGGACGGGGAAGGTTGGCGATGCGTCGGCGTTCCGGGTCTGGGGATCTCGGGCGTTTGTCCGCGACTTGTCTGCGGACAAGCTGTCCCTTCGCGCTGCTCCCTGCGTCTTCCTGGGGTTCCCCCCCGACGCCCCTGGGTGGCAGTTCTACCACCCCACCTCTC